AGGTACAACACCTAATAGAAGAGTGCATATTATTCAACATGAGCAAAGAGGAATGCATGGAAGCTCTCTCACAACATGCAAATATCAAGCCAGTTATTACTTCTACAGGTACATATAATAAACCTTATTTTTTTTTACCTTCAAATTATGTACTTAATTATATATTGTCCATGCCATAAAATTCGTCACGTCGAATCGTTTTGACCGGCCCATAATCTAGCGATTATTCGTAATTTAATTTTTTTTTTTTATTTACATAGTGTGGAAGGAGCTAGAGAAGGAGAACACGGAGTTTTTCGAAGCGTACGCAAAGAGAAGAGAAGAAAAGAGAAGGACAACTGCATCTGAAACATCGTCATCGAGCGAGACAAGTCAAAGAATCCCTAATGTACTCTTGGATTCATCTAAAAAATATGGCAATAAATGATCATATTAATTGTATAGTTGTATTCATGGTCATTGTACAAAATACTATATATTATAAATTTATATAATATGTTATATACTATAGTTTCGAAACATATATTTGATCGGAAAACCATGTCTATTCGACCCGGACCACCGGTTACCGGTGGGCTCCTCCACATATTGGCTTTGTACATAACTCTATAATAATGTCATATGCTTAATTGTATGGAGTTCTACGCCACCCTACATTGTATTTGAACTAAAAGTTCTAAGCTTTTTTTATATTATTTTATTTTTTGTTTCTAGTGAAAAAGGAATATTGGAGGAAAATTTTGAAAAAAACTTTATTTGGATAGTGAGGTGTGGGTTTTTGTAAGTTTGCTTGTGGTGATCGAAATGTGATGGAAAGATCCAACTTATCGGATTTCGACACGTGGAGGACATGTGATGACATGGCGGCATCTTATTTTATGTTTTCGATTTGGTTTCTGTGTTTCGTTTTAAATTTAACTTGTTCGTGAGCTGATATGATATGATAGTATTTTCAAATGTGGTTCTCATTAAATTAATAAATATGAATTATGTAGAAAAAAAAAAGAAAAATAGTGAAACATCAATCTTGTAATTTAGCTATTATTTATTTTCCTTTTATTTTTATTAAATTTATTTATTTATTTTTAATTTGGTGGGGTGGTGAGGGGAGGGGTAGGCAAATTTTGGTTGAGTGTGAAATATGGGTCTTTTTTTTGCATCTTTGGTTGTAATTAATGCAAATTATTGGGGGCCAATGAGGGACATATGCATAAATAGAATGCATGGAAACGAAAGGGAAAATCAATGTCTTCTTGTGCTATATTTCTTGCATGTTTTTTTTTTTTTTAAGTGTCACGAGTGTACCTCGAGTGCTTTGTTGACTTCTAGTCTAGGTTTTGTTTCATTAGTATATATGCTTTTGTTTTGGGTAATAAATTCACTATTATTAGTTGTGCAACATGAGACCTCACGACAATCGACCACATATATATACTCCTTAGCACGGTGAACTGAGTTAATATGCTTCATTAATTAATTGATGTCGCAGAAGATTAACATATCCTTTAATAAATATTTATATAATAGAATTAATATCGAGACATATGGTTGATGAACTTGTGTTAATTAATACTAGTACGTACCACGTGCGATGGACGAGATAGAGATATTAAATTAGTTATTTTCACAGATTATGTCCGTTTAAGCATAGTTTTTTTAAACTCGGGCAGGTCTCTGGGTCATCGGTTCAACCGTCGGGTCAGTTGCTGAACCGGATAATTAATTTTAATTTTTTTTAAATAATATATAGAGTATTTTGTCATATATATAAATTTACATAAACTAAAAAATTAAAAGTTTTGTATATATGATTTGTACATTAAAGTGTTAATAATATGTATTTCATGAGAATATTATACACATTTTTATTTTTTAAAAACAAAAATTATTTTAAAAAATGAAAAAAAAAAAATATAGGGACCGGGTCAATGCCCTGGGTCGATAGGGTCAAGGCCGGATTGGCCGGGTCCTTTGTTGCCTGGTCCGAATAGTCCACCCGGCCCGGGTTGAAAAACATTGCGTTTAAGTCTAAAAAGCTATAGGTTATCATCTATTTTAATCAACATTAAGTCGAAAAAAATAAGGTTATAATATATTTTTCACTTTTAATCAACATTGTATTTTTTGCCTGAACATTAAATATGAGCATGTTAGGGCTAACTTGTAAAATTATTAATGTATAATCTCACTAACACATTTATACTAATATAAAATTGATTTTACTATATATATTTATTCCTTGATATAAGAGAAAATAAAAGTTTTACTTATTTTGTTTACCATATAATACTTAATATTATTATTTATTATAAACTTTGTTGTCATATAATATCATTATTATTTATAATATATGAGTTGTACGTCTTCTTTCTTCTTTCTCTTTTTATTAGAACTTAAATTATGTTGTAATATTTATCTTGACCAATGTATTATCAACATGAATAACGAAAATTCAATTTTGTAATCTATTATAATGGATATCAGGAACAATATTTTTTGATCATATAAGATTTGATCTTATATCAAATCGTGTATATATATATATATATATATATATATATATATATATATATATATATATATAAAGCTATTAATGAATATATTTAAAAAAATTCCAAAAAAGGTATGCAACAAATGTTTTCAAAAAATTTGATTACTATTTTTAGTAAACGGTAATTCTTATTATATATATGTATCGATGTATAGATTCATTATTTTAGGGGATTGTATGTGATAAATCTAAATTTGTATAATTCACGTTTTTTTAATATATTTTGCTTATTAAATTAGAAATATATTTTTATTATAAAATAATAGCCGACATTCAAAACAATAGTATTAGCCGATTTGATGTTAAAAAAGTTTCTGATTTTTTGAGCAATCAAAACATAACTGCTAGATTTAGTGGTTAAAAAAATTCAAAATAAATAATATATTTTTGTTATATTTTGATTATTAAATAAGTTGTAATTATTTTTATTAAAAAGTAAAAATCTGACATCTAAAATAACTGGATTAGTCAATTTGATGTTAAAAAAGTTTTCAATTTTTTGAGCAATCAAAACATAACCGGCAGATTTAATGGTTAGAAAAATAAAATAAAAAAAATTATTTATATTTTTTTATATTAAATTAGTCGTATGTTAGTTTTATTAATAACTAAAGCCGATGTTTAAATCAACTGTATTAGCCGATTTGATGTTAAAAAGGTTTGCGATTTTTCAAAATACTAAAGTAATTTTTTATTATTAAATTAGCAATAAATTCTTTCTTAAGAAATAAAAAAAATAAAAAACTACAATTGTGATACATGATTTCCCTTTAAAATTTTTTTTGTTGATTTTGTGAAAGTTTAAAAGTAACAACCCCAATCTTATCCATAAAAAATAAAAAATAACACTTTTTTAGGCCAACATTAATGAGGGCCGTTTGGAAGTTTAAAAAAAAAAAAACTTTCTATTAATAGCATGTAATTAATGTTGTCTGTATTTGACCAAAATTTAACTTGCCATTTTTGAAAAATGGTAATTATATATATATATATATATATATATATATATATATATATATATATATATAGATGACCATGATAGATAGGTGAATAGTTAACGCGTCTACCAATATATATAATCGAAAATACTACGTATGAATTTAAACTCTCTGCATAATCGGAAATGTATAGTAAAAGGAAACACACGAGCATGCAGAGAGTTTAAATTCATACGTAATTATGACATGCATTAATTAACTACATACCAATCAAAATGAATACCTTATAAACGGTAGAAAGTACTATTTGAATTACGAGCTATTGATGTAATCCAATGAAAAAATGGAGATTTAGTCATGTAACTAACACTAAATTAAAAAATAGACTGGTGAATGTGTTGATTTTATGTGTTGACTTTTGGTCCTTCCACCTGGAAAAGTAGATCAATTTGACCGGCTGATGAGCTGGATATGTTAGTCGGCTACCACTTGTGTGAAAAGAAAAATGAAAAAATAATTCACATTAGCAACCGGTCACAAGGACCGGATTTTGCCTGTAGAAGGATAAAAAGCTTATTTTTTTTTTTTCAAGTACATGGTGTTTTATAAAGGATTATTTTTTTACGTTGACATGACTAAATCTCTAATTTTTCCTAGAATACGTGAGTCGTTTACATGAATCGTGAATCACACCAAGCAGATACTCTTTTTTACCTCACAGTATCTTGCAAAATTCAAAATGACTATGAAGGATAGGACAGAACATTGCTTTCATAGAAAGTTGGACAAGACTATTGTTTTCTCCGAAGGTTTCTATTTTATTGTTCCAAATTCTATTAGGACAAGCTACTAATTATTAAACGCTATTTTTTTCTTTTTGTTTTTTTTTTTAAATGATAATATCGGCAAAATTGAAATTTTAGTTCTGTTGGTTTAACGTTATAATATTTTTAGTCCTAATATTTCAACTTTTCGCTCTTTGGTCATGTAATTTAGTATTTTACTGCAATTCCAGTCATTTGGAGACTTAAATTGCTAATAAAAAATTCATTACAAATATTTTTTATTAGCTATTTAAGTCATGTAATTAAAATTTTTGTTGCAATTTGAGTCCTCATAGGATTGAAATTGCATTGATTTTTTAAATCACGTGATCAAATAGCAAAATGTTCAGATCTTAAAACTAAAAATGCTACTAGATCAAACCAATAGAACTAAAATTGTCATTTTGTGATAATATCAGAAATCAGTTAAAAAAAAAAAAAGGAATTTACACTCCATACAATCAGATATTATTTATATTGCATTTATACAAATATTTTATTCTTATTTATAAAATTACTAAACCAACCAAAAAATATTACAATTATACCTAATATCTTAATTGCAGCAATAAATATTAATTATCAATTATCATAGCTCTCTCTCTCTCTCTCTCTCTCTCTC